CGGGGCCCGCAGCAGAGCCCCCCTCCCCTCCAGCAGACCAACGCTCCCACCCAGCTTGGTGTCATCTCCAAAGTGGCTGAGGGCACCCTCGATGCCCCCATCCGGATCGTGGATAAAGACATTCAACAGAACTGGGTCCAGAACTGAGCCCTGGGGGCCACCGCTTGTGCCCGGCCCCCAACTGGATCCGACTCCGTTCACCGCAACTCTCGGGGCTCCACCATTCCACACCTGGATATTTCTTCAGCGCTTTCCCGGTAGCGCAGCAGGAGCTGATCCCAGGCCTGACATTCGGCAGTGAACCTGCGGAGCAGGAGGAGAGAAGGGGCCCGGAGCGTCCCTCTGTGAAGCTGAACTACAGCCCAGGCTCGTAGAAAAAAAACAAAAAAACAAAAAAACCAGCTTAAAGGATTAAATACACCCAAAAAACCCCCCCAGGGAGGAGGTGTCCAAACCCCTGGAGGTGCTGGGGGCTTCAGGTGGCATGTGCAGTCGCTCCTACCTGGCCATGTATTCCTTAATTTGGGCCACCGACTCATCCAACGCCGAGTCCAGTGAAATCCTACAGCAGAGATCCAAGGTCAGCGCCGGGCGGATCTCCACGTTCCACACATCCCGCTCAGGCAGCCGTGCCGAACACTCCGCACATCCCAGGGAATGTCCCAGCCCCCACGTCCCCGAGCTCCCTCCTCCTCCTCCTCCTCCACCGTCTCGCCTCCCTCTCCGGGAAGGATTTCCTTCCCGTACCTGACCTAAATCTCCTCTCTTTTCGCTTTAAAACCGCGACCCCTCATCCTGCCGCTGCGCTCCCCGACCAAGCGCCGCTCCCCACCCTGCCCCTCGAGCGCGGAAGCTCTCCCCGGAGCCGTCTCTCCTCTATGCTAAACATCCACAACCCCCCCAGCCGCCCGATCCTCACCCTCCACGCGCGTATAGCGGTGATTTTTATCCATTTATTCATTTTAAGGGGCAAAAACCTTATTCTGGCCCGTCTTTGATTTACAAACCGCTCCCCTCTCCAGATCCCGCCGGTGTACGAGGGGGTAACAGCGGATTCTTTCCCATTTAAAAGTTTCACCCCCTCCCAAAAAAACCTGCTGGCACGCGTTAGGGCTCTGGCTGAGGGAAGCCAGCTAATTAAAACATTTAAATGAACCCAAAGCATTTTGACGCCGCAAGGGATGAGTTGGGCGAGTCCTTACCCTTTAGGGTCTTCTACGCAGCTCGTTAGCGTTCCGTCTCGTTTGAGCTTCTGCATGTAATGCTTCAGGTCTTCCGAGAGCGAGCTCGCTGGAGACGAAGACAAAATAAACCAGGATGAATCCACGCTCGCGCCCACCGCCTGGCAAATTAGTAAATACGGAGAAACAAAGCTGCTTCCTAACCCACGGATACCGCTCCGATTCCTCGTCGGAAGCCATGCTCGTTAGTACTTACGCTGTTTCCGAAAGATCAACTCATCCCCGGGGCCGCCGTTTAGCTCAGCGCGCCCGTTTGCCTCTCCCCTCCCAGAAATTCCCAGCATCTTAAAAACATCATTCCCGTATTTTTGGCTGCACCCCGGTCTCATTTTGAGAGGATACCAGGGGAGGGGTCAGTAATTTGCCGTCCCGGATCACCCCGACCGCCGGAAACGGCGCACCTTACCGTTAGCTTTGAAAGCCTCGGGGCTAAAGCCGTCCGTTTGCTTCAAGAGGTGTTCGAGCTTCTGCGCAGAAAACTAAGAGCAGGTAGAAAAGAACGTGTCGGGTTGCGCGACGAAGCTCGCGGGAAAGCTGGGTACCAAGGGAGAAGGGAGCGCCTCCCCCCCCCTCGCACCTATTTCCCAACCCCGTTATACAAATCAGAACGTCGGGGTAGCAGCAGCAGAAAGGTGAGAGGGAAATAATTGGCTTTTTTAAAACGAGAGGACCTTACCTGGAAGCTGGACAAGAGCAGCATCGAAAGCCGGTCTGTCTCTGGCAGATCCAGGCTAATGGATTTGCTTAATTCTGAAAAATCAGAACAAAAATCGCTTAAGAACAATTAAATTCACACCAAGCTGCCAACGGCCGGAACGTTCCTGGAAGACATTAAAAGCCGTTGCTGTGTAGGAGCGCGGTTTGCAGGATACAGGAGCGGGGAAAAGAGAAAGAAAGAGAGTTCCCAACAAGGAAACGTCACACTCAAGGGGCAACCATGGAAATAAAAAGGCAGGGACTGCAAACCACCGGTCTACAGAAGCCGTTAACGCAGCAGCTCCTTTTATCCTTGAGTATCCGGACCTCCGAGATCGCTGCCAACACGCACGTCAGCGGCTACTGGTTAGGAATAACGCAATTAAACTGTAATTACCCCTAAAGGTTGTGCCGTACAATTAAATTCCACCTTGCTGCAGGCTGCCCTACCAGTTTCAAGAGCGAGCTTGATAAAGGGAAGCAGCGGAACACGCACCGGTGACATCCTGGTGAACGGGAGGCAGGGATTTTTTGCGTTTGGTCCCCTTCAGGCTCGAACGACACCAAGAGCTCCGCTTGGCTTGAGGAGTGGTGATGAGCAATCTCGGGGACAAGTTAAAGGAACTCCACGCGTGGTCTTTCCTGGGACTGCTTCTCCAGGGAGACAGCCTCTTGGGACTAAGTCCGAGGGGGCTTTTCCTGAGGCTGGGACTTCCGTGGGATCTTTTCCTCGTATCTGCTTCGGTGGTCTCACAGGGACTAAGGTTCTTGCAAATGACAGTTACGTCAGGCGGCTTCAGGAACTGCTCAGGATCCGCCTTCTTCTCCCCAGGGTCAGGATCTGAGAAAACCAGATATAACCAATCTGTCCGCGGGGTCAAGCGAGGGGAAAAGGGTTTTTTCCTAGGGATTCAAAAGCACCAAACCTGCATTTTGCTTGGGGCAAGCGCAGCGCCTGGATCACCGCTTCACATCCCCCC